CTATAGGCGCTAAAACACTAACAGACTGACAAGATCTTTCGCTGTCTATGGCCGGGTACCCATTCCCACCTGGGTGAAGTGAGGAAAATTCGTATAAAGTGCCTTTCCCAAGGACACAACGTCGGGCCCGCGGCTCGAACCCCCGAACCTGCAACCTCACGATTTAGAGTCCAGTAGCCTAACCACCAGACCACCAACAACCTCACGATTTAGAGTCCAGTAGCCTAACCAACAGACCACTAACAACCTCACGATTTAGAGTCCAGTAGCCTGACCACCAGACCACCACCAACCTCACGATTACGAGTCCGCTAGCCTAACCAACAGACCACCAACAACCTCACGATTTAGAGTCCAGTAGCCTGACCACAAGACCACCACCAACCTCACGATTACGAGTCCGATGGCCTAACCAATAGACCACCGACAACCTCACGATTACGAGTCCGCTAGCCTAACGAACCACTAGATTAGAGGAGTTACCAGGGTGTAACATACAATGATACGACTATTTTTTTTTAAAAAAAGGTATTTGCAAGACAAAAAAGTCGTAGAAGAGTGTACGGAAGATTAGAGAGTGTTACTCGAGAGTAGCATCCAAAGAAAAAAAAAAGCCAGTTTAGTTTTAGTAAGTGTTTTACGGCACTTGCAACACAATAAGGTCACATAAGCGCCGAAGATTAGTGGTGTTACAAGTGAGTAACAAACACAAAAAAGGAGGAGGGGAGATAAAGACGACAGACGTTTGATAGGAAAGAAGGAGCAAACCACACCAGAGCACCCGCCAACCACCCACAAAGAAAAAAATATCCAGAAGATATCAGGACGATAGATGTTTGAATAAGAAAGAAGGTCCAGCCACCAACGTAACAGGCTTCAACATTTAAGGTTGCTATTTCAGTATATCACAGAAAACACTTAAATAAAAACAATCAAAATTATGTATATATATATATATATATAATATATATCTATACATATATCGAGACATATATATCTATGTTAACGTCTGAAACGATCAGACCCTCACAAAACGACATTTGACCCCCGACCTCACACCAAAAGACAATTGAACCCCGAGCTCACCTGTGTTCTGACCTCCACGGGGTGTTCAGGGTTGGCTTCAACTAGTGACTTGGTAGAAAATAAACCTAAATCTGGGGACACAAACACAGACTCCATAGGGTCAAATCGTATTAAAAAGCAGTGCACAATGAAAAAAAAGAGAAGAAAAAAAGAGAAAACAACAACAATACCTAATAATAAAAAACACAACAATACCACAGAAAAAACAAGTATTTTTAAACCTCATATGAAAATGTGCTCCCAAACTCGAGGTAAACACCCCCAAAAAAAAAAAAAAATAAAAAAAATTATAATTCCAAGTCAATAACAGACCCAGATATACCAAAGACCATTCAAATCTGAGATGGGCTATTCCAGGGTAACTGGCGGAACATTTCGACTATACTTCTTACAATAACATAAAAGAGGTCTTTTTTCATTCCCGTCATTAACCGTGCGTGCGCGTGTGTGGGCGTGCCCGCGTGTGTGGGCGTGTGTGGGCGTGCCCGCGTGTGTGTATAACTCACCTAGTTTGAGTGCCCCGGCAATCCCTCGTATAACGACGACCGGCTGCTGGTGGCAGAACTGCTGCAGCTGGATGGAGAAGGCATCTTTCTTGTTGTCCAGCTGGGGGAGTGACGGAAAAAAAAGTATCACAGGTCAGAGAGAGAGAGAGAGAGAGAGAGAGAGAGAGAGAGAGAGAGTGTGAGTGGATTACAGACATTTAATACATGTTTCTTTTCTTGAGTCAAAACTGTCATAAACTGACAAAACGCATTTTTTCATTCTGGCGCCAACATTTTTTATTTGCTAAATCGAAAGCCTGATCAGTTACCCTCCTTGTGTGAAAAAATCAAAGCGAAACTTTGCCTAGTTTTTTAAAATAAATTAGAATTCGAATTTCGGAAGCTCACTATTTTTAAATGATTACGCTGACAAAAAAACCTTTGTCTCGAAACAGCAGTGAATAAAAAAAAGGCGTTTTGTCAGCTAATGAGAGTAATGAGACGTGCATAGACAAATAATACAGTCATTTAGCGGTGGTAAAAAGTAAGACAGACAGACAGAAACAACCGAGGGAAAGTGAAGAAGTAGGACCTACCAGTTTCACAAGAGTAACAAGAGAGTAACAAACACAAAAAAGAAGGAGAAATAAGGACAATAGATGTTTGGTTAGAAAGAAACCACACCAGAGCACCCGCCGACCAACCATCCACATAGAGCTGCTGAATAGACAGACAGAGACAGTTGAAAGGTACTAGCCTGGGGTGCCCTCCAACAATCCCACCCTGAAAGACAGCAGTAGGAGGAGACAAGGAGAAGCAGTAGAAAGACAGCAGAAAGAGTCAGGAGCCTAGAGGAGGAGGCAAAGGAGGTGAGGGGGGTGGGGGCAGAAAGTGGAGACGAGAGCAAATGTCAGAACATTGTTAGAGAGCAAGAAAGGAGGAGAAAGGAGATCACTTTTTTTTTAGAGAAGAAAATTTTCCAGCTGCTGTTCAGATTCAAACCCGGGACCTATTGAAAGAGAGGAAAACACTGTAACACTGTAACCTCTCAACCACAAGAGCCCTCAGCAAACATCTATCGACAGTGCAGCCTCTCTATATCGACCTTCGATATAACGACATCCTCTGTATAGCGACATGGTGCCCAGCTCCCGATGTTTTCCTTATATATCATTAGTAATATTTTGGGTTGTCACTCTATAACGACAACTCTCTATAATGAAATTTTTTCTTGACCTGCTGATGCCGTTATAGAGAGGCTACACTGCACGCAATTTCACGCTCGCACACCAATCTCAGGGACTCACATAGACACTGGGCGTGGGTGGGTTGAGCGAGTCTTTGGGCAGCGCGGGTGTGGGGGCGGGCGGTGGGTGTGGGGGAGGGTGGTCCTCGCCCAGGATGCTGCTGAGGCTGCGGTGGACCAGACCTTGACCTTTGGTCAGCTCCATGATGCGGCCGCCGGCCATGGAGACATCCAGCGTGACCACAGCGGGCTTGACAGGCTTCTGCAGGAGGGAGGCGTCCACCGAGCTGCGCTTGAGCACCAGACCCAGCTCCTTGGTGGCGGAGACGGTGAAGATGTCCTGAGAGTACTTGCTGCTGCTGCTGCTGCCGCTGGAGTCCTTGTGGTGGTGGTGGTGACCTCCCCCGCCCCCCGCGACCTCGTCATCCTCGTCCTCGTTGTTACTCTCAGCGCCGTCGCCCCGCGTGGAGCCCTGCGGGGAGGAGGAATGTACGGAAGTCGAGCTGGGCGTGGCCGCACGGGCTCCCTGACCACTGGGGGTGAGGCGCCCTTGCTGCTGCTGCTGCTGCTGTTGAGAAGATGATGAGGATGAGGCTGATGATGATAGCGCCGACGACAAAGATGATAAGGCTGCGACTGTACTGTTGTTATTATTACTACTACTACTGCTGCTGCCTGCTAGACAGGTCGGAGGTGGTGGTGGTGGGTTGCTGGCCGCACCGACGCTAGTTGAGGCCACACCGGAAGTGCTGCTGCTGCTGTTACTGCTGCCACTGTTGATATTGCTGCCTAAGAGATTGTCTGAAGATAACGGCGGGATCTGCAATGAGGAGGATGATGACAACGATGATGACAACGAAGACGCAGACGGCTGGGAAAGAGGCGGTGGCGCAGAGCCCCCGAGACCGGAATCCGACGAGCCACCGCCAAACGGGGATGAAGACGACGAAGAAAGCGAGGCCATGCCTCCCTTCCTGTCCCCGGCCATCTGCGCCATCTGAGCGAGCACGTCCTCCGCCATGGCGATGTCCTGAGAGGAGAACGGGAACTTCTCGTCCAGAGCCTTGGAGGAGCTACCCCCGCCGCCCGCCGCCTCCCCGAGGCCCCCCATGAAGGAGGAGGAGGGTAGAGGGCCCCCGGAGCCCAGCTGGAGGGAGGAGGAGGAGGAGGAGGGGGGAGGAGGCATGGCCGGCAGGCAGGGTTGGGGGAGTCCCCCCGAGCCCCCCACGCCGAGGGGAGACAGAGTAGATGAGGGCAGAGCCCCAGCACCTGGTGGAGAGATAATGATAATGATAATAATA